TGATACATGCGCGAGATACAATAATATAAGCGCTGATACACTAATCTGATGCGCGAAAATGAGGGATTTCTGTAATTATAAACTTTTAAGGGATAAATTGTAATTTTGACTTAAAAGTATGTGATTTCTGTAATTTGCCCTTATTTATTTATAAAGAAACTAGTAAAACTAAGCGTAGAAATTTAATATTATGGAATTTATAAATAATACTTAAAACATATCAGTCATTAAAACTAAAATACTATATTATCTTACATACAAGATTATATAGTAACAAACATTAATAATGTAAAGGAAAATAAAAATTATTATATCTTATCATTTATCCTTAATAATACAAGCATAAATTAATGACTGTAAAAATACATACCAAAATATGTAACATAAGCAATAGTGTCAGTGAGCCACTCAATAAGAGCAAAATAAACAAATATTTAATTGTGAAGAAGATGAAGAAGAAGAGGTTCAGAATTTTCGTTGTTTTAAAATGAGAGAAAATCCCTCTATTTATAGACAACAAAGGGTAGTGTGAACAAATTTTTATTGTAACTTATCGGAAATGTTACAACTATTTGGAAAAGTTGCAACCCTTCGGAAATGTCACAATTTTTCATAAAAGTCGCAACTCTTCATTAAAGTCGCAACTTGTCATAAAAGTCACAACTTATCATAAAAGTCACAACTATTCATTAAAGTTACAACTTTTCATAAAAGTCACGACTTTTCATAAATTTTATAACTTTTCATTAAAGGGAAAAACTAGTTTTGTAAATAAATAAATTAAAAGGGAATTTTGGTTTGTGGTAGCGCCACGTAGGCGGGCCTAAGGTTCTCTTTTATATATAATATATAATATATGATATATGATACTAGGGAGCAGGTTTTGTAGAATTTGCCCTTTTGTGGTAGTTTCACATTACTGGGTCACAAACTCTGATGTTGCTTACTGCCAGTGAAGATCTCAGTATTGTGGACTGTCAAGCCTATCTTATTGGCAAGGCATTGGTCCCGGTATTATTGATTCCTGAACCAGGTTGCACTCGTTGGCCATGTCCCGGAGAGATGTTATTTAACTGGTCATTACTTGCCACGCGTCGTTGCATCATTCATCCACCTACTCGAGACATTTTATATGCTTTTCGAGATAGTGAATATGTATGAACTAATTGTAGGGACATGACCACATGCCAACGACTACCATTCTTTGATTTGTTACTGATTTGCTACCTTTTTTTCTCAATTCTTTTTTTGGATCTCTCAAATAATTGAAAATTGAGTATAACAGATACAAAGAATTTATGTATCCAAATTTCAAACCCAATAACAAATAGTTGTCTAAGGGTTTTACCCAAAGAAAAAGTTTTAAATGGAACAAGGAGGCACTGCAAAACTGAAGGAGCCAGGTGGAACGTAATTTGTATCAGTTGTTTGGTATTAACAAACTCTTGCGACTCTTGTTCCTGATTCAAAATCCAGCTACCTTGTGTTTACTTGGATGGGTCTTTACTTGGACGAGTTATTTTAATTCAATTTTTGTTCAGACTTTTGAATTTTTTTATAAAAAATAATAATGACATGGCCGAATTATAACACGTGTCAAAAATGGTTTCGCAAAACCACTGTTAAAAAATAGTGGCATGAATGAGCCTTTTCTTAAAACGTAAAGGCATAAATGAGCCAAACTTTTAACGAATGACATAAATGAACATTTTCTAAAAGTTTGATGGCATATTTGAGCCTTTTCCCATATTTTAATTATGTATACATAATGTAATTTTCTGACAAAAAGGGTTCAGATGAACACTCAGTCCTAAGTAACTCTGCCCCTGATCACACAATATAAAGTATTTTAATTCAGGTTTGCTTTTTTTTTTTTTTCAGAAAAAAAAAATTTGTACTTTTTTCCTACCAATTTTACTTTTTTATAATTAAGCAAAAATGCAATTATACATCCAATATTAAAAAAAAATTGAGGCCCCCAATAATGAAAAGACATTATTATCACATAATTAAAGTTAAGATCACATAATCTAAGTTAAGATTTTGTTCAAGATACTAGTAAAAAACTAGTAATATCATTCCATTGATTAACTAAGATTAAAAAAAGAAAATAATAGTTCAATGCATAAAATAACTTCTTTTGTTAGTTGGTCAACATTTTTGAGCCAAACACATAACAAAAAATATAATTGATTCATTTTGACTATTTCAAGAATATATTTGACCATTTTTCTTTTATAATTAAGCAAAAATAAAATCATGCATCCCCTATTCAAAAATTTGATGTCCAAAACAGAGAAAAGACGACTTTATTAACCATCTTAAATTCACATACAAATTTAAGATTATGTTTGCATGATCAACTTGGACACATGACATCCAAGTTGTCTTTAGTAATAAAACAAAAGTACATAACTTCGAAATTAAAATTCTAATAAAAAGCATAAATTAAAAAAGTGCAACATATTCATGTGTGATATGTTGTTCTTCTTCATATTTAGTTTGTGAATCCTCCTCCATTTTAAGACACCATAGCATCGATCTAATCACTATCTTTTAATCCAGGCTTCATAAAAAAGAAACATGAAAACAAATTTAAAAATTACATAATTTTAAATTAATGATAAATTAGATTAAATTATATGCAAATTACGGTCTTACTTCATCAATAGTCTTTGCTGGTGAAATGCGTTGTCCATCCAAGACAAATCGAACTGTTTTCCAGTCTATTAATTCCCTACAGTATGTCATGAAGACCCTCTTCATAACCATAGCAGGCGATATGCTTAAAATCGTAATTGATCCATCCTATAAAAATAAAAATAAAAATTAGGAACATAATTTTTAAAAAAAAAATTATATTAGAGAGAGTGAAATGATGAACCTAAGATTGAACTTGGATATCAAAAATATTTTGTCACGACCCGAGCCTACACCCTGGACGTGGCCGGCATTCGAAGATCATTGCTAGTCCCCAAGCGAACCCTCATCCTGGCTGACTACAAGCGAAAATGATCAAGACATACAAAGCTTAAAAACTGAATAAAAGTTCATAAAACTTAAATTCAAACTTAACTCAAATGAAAACTCTGAATAATAAAATATATTCAACTCGCCCCAAAATTGGCAACTAAGTCTTTGAAATATTTAATAAAATAAATAAATAATACATACTTCTCAACTATACTGACTATCTATGAAGCCTCTAACTGATAAAGATGGAAGTCGGGACAAGACCCACGACATCCTGACTAAATTGAAAGGTAAATGAAATCCTCCGGAAGCAAGGAGGCTCACCATAGCTAACTCGAAGTCTCGGATGTATCAACGAAGCTCATGTAGATGATCTTGAATACCTGTGTCTGCATCATGAGAAGATGTAGGACAAATGCCTCAGTACGTGGAATGTACGAGCATGTAAGAGGAATTTTAAAGCATAAACATAAGCTTGAAACTTGATAAAAAGGAGACAATACTTACATCTTCTCAAACTTACTCAACTCAAGGAATACTCATGGATAAGGTGCTAAACTCAGAGATTAGATACTCAACTCAAAGATATGATACTCAACTTGAAATACTCAACTCATGATACTCAAGGATAATGCAATAGTAAAAGATGCAATATATGGAAAACTTATAAAACAGTAAAAGCAACTTAGTTCATTAAAGAAAATGCAATAACAAACTCAACTTTACTTATATAATAAAGTAATATAGTTTCTGTGGGAGATTCTCTAACCGACAACCA